GGGTGACTTCTGCGAGCTCGAGGAGCAGCATTTCGTTTTCATGGTCTTTCATCTCTCCGAAAGAGGCACTGAGCTCGCAGGCGAGCTGGAAAGCCTGACGCGTGGGCTTAACAGCCGTGGCCATGAGCTGCCTCGCTTCATTCAGATACCCCAGACTCTTGTCGAGTTTGCTTGCCTTGAGCCACACAGAGCCGATCCAGCTCGCTGCCTGTGCTCTATAGATAGAGGCGTTGGTTGAGTTGGCGACTTGGTGGGCCTTCTCTGCGTAGTAGACCGTCTCCTGGAACATACCCAGATGGGCGTAGACAGACGAAAGATGCAGCATAGCCGTCAGGAGACCGCAGGCGAGTGCCCAGCTGTCCGGTCCATCGGACAAGTCGATTCGGGCAGAAGCATCGCCCTTGATGATGCTATCATCTGTGTCGGGAGAGCCTTCCCGTGACGCCTGGGCCGAGCTTGCTTTCGGTGCACTTTGCCATCGAGCTTCCAGCTTCGTCCAGTCCGAGTACAGAAGACGCACGCTGGTCTTGGCATGAAACAGTGCATGCTGGTATTCACCTTGGTCCCATTTGATGCGGGAAAACAGGCAAGCGGCTCTGGCAAGCAGGAGCTTTCTCTGTTGTCGGGAGCCTCTGCGACTCGAGGAGGACTTTTCAAAAGCGGCTTGGCCCTGGAGAAGCATCTTTTGACTATACCCTGTTAGAATCGCACCCATACGAAGAAAAATTTGGGCAACTTACGCGGCAGCAGAGTTCTGCTTGGCCAGTTGATGCTCGGTAAAAGATACGAAAAGATTAACGGCCGCGAGGTCAGGATCGCTGCTCGAGGACTGCACAAACTCCTGGGCTTTTTTGAGGATTTCCTCGGCCTTGTCAGAGTAGCCCAGGTGGGTATATTGATCCGCAAGATCGCTGTGTGACTGGACCAGCAAGTCTGTGGACGAATCACATAGCTTCTGCGAGAGGTTGGCTGATAAGGTCAGAATCGACAGCAGGAACTCGTCCTCGCCGCGGAGCCTCGCGAAGTTGGCGATGGCACCGAGCTGTCTGAGAAGTCCCTCGGCGTCGTTGACTCTGGAGAGAACATCGTCCTTGGAGGAGCACTCGGTCACAATAACACGCCAAGCGTTGATCGGGCACTCGAAAGCGCTTGTGCGCCACTCGGAATGAGATTCTACGAGTGCTACCGTTGATGCCAGGGAGGCCTCAAGGTCCGCAACATAGCTTGCCAAACCACTGTCATCAGCAAGATCCTGCGAACGGCATGCTTGTAGGGCCGCCTCGGTTTGCTCTCGGAGATCTTGAAACTGGTTCTGGTCGCCAATGGCCATCGTGAGAAGCTGCGTCAAAGTACGGAGTCGGCGAATCGGGAAGCGATCGACGGAGTAAATCCTCAAGAGAGCCTCAGTAACCGGCTCTTTGATATCATCCGATTTCGTTTCGTTCGATGTGTCGGATAGAAGGAGTTGGATGATGCGCTCCAGGACCGCCGCCCGCTCAACATCTGCGAGGAAGAAGGTCCAGTCATTCCAAGACTGGTCGAGCTTGACCATGGCACCCAGCGTCCGTGACAAGGCCTCTGTCTTGTCGTTTGCGCCCCAGGCAACCGCGGGTGACTTTTCCGACAGGGAAGCGGCCACGGCGGATAGGATACCATCTTCGACCATGTTCGTGCAGATGAGCTTGAGGGCATCACGGGCATCGTTAATGCGGCCCGCGTGCTTACAGAGCTCTGCAAAATATTCGAGCTTTGCCGTAGTCTGTGCCTTCTCCTTCTCATCGGATGGCCTGTCCTTGACGCAATCAACGGATCGTCGGAGAGCCCGCAGAGGCGTCTTGTCGCCAGGCTTGCTTTCGTTGTTACGTCGATACCAGTGGAAAAACATGAAATACAGATGGGAAATCTTAGTGTACGCAGAGTTGCCATCATTGGTCTTTGAGCCGGTAGTGCTAATGTCGCCCATAGAATCAAGCAACATGAGGCACTCTTGCAGAAGGCCGTCGAGAAGTTCCCAAGTCATCTTATTTTTGTCAATGTGCGATTTCGCAACCATGAACGCCGAGTCCAAGATTTGGGGGACAGAGCTGAGAAGGATCTGTCGTCTCTGCTCGTGGCGCACACGGTCCTTGGCTGCTGAGTCTCTTGTCGGCGCTTTCCCGAGCCATCGAACAGAGAATCGGGGGAACTGGAGAATCAGCTTGTTAAGCAGATCGACAATCTCTTCGGAAACCTCTTGCTTATTGCTTGATAATATTCCGACTGAAGACCTTCGAGCAGCCGACAGGTTGGTCATTAGTTCCTCAAGCTCTGTGGAATCGCCTTTGAGCATGCCCTGGAGTGCGTCGATGACCTCGGTCAGGGCCTTTGTAAGCTGCTGATCGGGGAGTGGTACTTGTTTGCCGTAAACAGCGACGAGCTGCGCCGAGTAAGCACAGCACTTCGCCGCTGAGTCGCTCTCCGGGTTCAAAGTTTGCTTGATCTTCAAGATCCAGTCGGCCGAGTCTTTGTAAAGCCGAGCAGCCTGAGCTGCGGTACCCAAGGCCTGGTAGATGATGGCGAGCGGCGATTTCGATGATAGAGTTGGCTCCAGGTGTTGGCTGTCAACCATCTTCATGATGCGCTGGAAAATATCGAGAGATCGGCGGTAGGATCCGGCGAGGTCTGACTGGGATCTGCGAACAAACGAGGTGATGCATCTCGACAACGGGGACATGATGTCCTTGTTGACGTCGGCCTTGTGGCCTGCCATGGGCCACCAGTGCAGGCGAGCCTCCAGTGCAATTGCTTGAAACTCCAACGCGGTGGCCGGAGAACAGCTCAATCGGGAGTCCTTCGCTGTGTCGTCGTCCTTGTTAGAGACGCTGGGAGCCAGGGAGGTAAGCAACTGCGAGAGCAAATCCAACTGCCGAGCCGCTTTCGTTTTCGCTTGGGCAGACTCTTTGGCGGATTCCAAAAGGAGATTCATGGGAGATGTCGGGCAGGCGGAGGTCAGGAACGGCTTAGCTGCTTCGATGATTGCTGCTTTCTTGCCCAAAGATATCAGGCGCAAAATGTGCATCTGTGTTGATATAACGACACCCAGAGTTGCGCCCGAAAATTTGGCATCACCAAAGTCCAACAGCTCTGCAAGTCCTTTGATTTTTGTGTCTGCGGCCGCTGCCTTGGTTGTCTTGGGCTTGGTCTTAGGTGAAGTCCCCAACGTATCGAGCCTTCGCTTCAGGATATTCAACTCCTTCAGCGCGTGTTCTTGGAGCCCCAGGCCGACAAGCTTAGCAATGAAAGAAGACATGCCGTTCTCCAGCTGCAAATCAGGAAGCGGCACGGCTCCAGAACTGTGCAGCGCTCTCAGGCAGGCGAAAGAAGCCCTCAAACACTCGACCGTCGCAAGGCATGTCGTCGGTGGTGTAGACGTGGTCGTCGGCTTCGGTGCTGGCTTCACGGCAGTCATGGGCGAGGTCGATGTCCGGTTTAGCGAACGCGGTTGCATGGGCGTCATCGGCAATGAGTTTGATCGTCTCAGATGTCGTCGGCTCGGGGTCTTCCTAAGGTCCTCGCCCGAGTTCTGTCGTCGGCATGGTGTCGAGGGTGCGGCCGCCGGTGCGGGCTTCGAAGCTTCGGTGAGCGACTTGAGCGCGACGTTGACGATGTGCGCCGCGAGTGCTGCCTTTTCCTTTGGGCTCAATTCCTCCTTCTTGTTGGCAGCGGTCCGTGCCGCTCCTGCGGTCTTGCCTCTTGCGGTCGTTGTCGACTTTGCATTTCGTGATGTTGTCTTCGTTGTTGCCGACGCTGTTTCGGTCTCAGTCGCAAGAAGTTCTTTGAGCAACACAGAGGTTGCTGATGTGCATGTCGCGGTTGATGTCGCCGCCGCCTTGACGGCTTCTACTTTGCTTTGTAGGGAAGTCATCGAATCGTATACGTTTTGATCCTAAGCATGTCGTCATGAAATCTCGAGCTTCATTCGTAAAGTACGACCAGGGGTAGGCCAAAAGAGCGAAATGCAGTTGTTCGAGAAGCAATTTGGATGTGTGACTTCATGGCAAATCCACAAAGGGTGCACTGCAGTTGTCAGTCTGGCAGATCTCGCTAAACAATGCCCCGGGGCGTTGTCCGGGGCAACCGCCATCCGGTTTGGTCCGTGCGGAGGAAGCTGCTAGCGCACGGACCATTTGGCCTTCAACTGCAGGACCGGAACTTTTTTTACTTCCAACTTCCAAGACGAGACGGAAGCACGCTGCGAGCATCGGTCTTTCCTTTAACTCATCTTTTTGATTGCTCCTCCGCCGACATGTCTCGAACTGCCACACAACGGCTGATTGCCGCGGCTCCATGCCTACGCAGCGCATCCATTGCGCATGCTGCCCCTCGAGCCGTCTACTTCCATGCGCGGCACTCGAGCTCCCTGCCGACGGTTGCGCAGTCCGACTTCTGGAAGGGCCTGATCCCGAAACCATTCCGTCGCGAACCGCAGCTCCCCGGAGACCCGTCGATCAAGCGAGTCAAGTCGAAGAAGAAGAAGGAATGGAACCCTGCAACCTTCTACATTGTCATCTTTCTCTTGATCGGTTCCATGTCGATTAATATGCTGTCGAGCAAGCAGTCGTTCGAAGCTTTCTCACGCCAAGCTGACGTCCGCATCGGGGTCTTGAAAGAGGTCGTGGAGAAGATACAACGCGGCGAGAAGGTTGACGTGGAAGAGGCACTTGGCACGGGCGACCCTCAGAAGGAGTTGGAGTGGGAAGAGAGTATGTCAACTGTCACGGATAGTACTACACGAATGCTGACGAACTCGACCAGTGCTGAGAGAGATTGAACGAGAAGACGTGTCACGACAGAAGAAGCAGGAAAAGTCACGGCAGACGGAGAGCGTGAAGAGCAAGCCCGAAAAGGAAGCCAAATCGCATGCGACAGAGGTCTCTGAGGCTGCGAAGCCACCGGCACGAGGCATGTCCAGCTTCTTCTAGATTCATAACGGAGACGTTTTTGATTGTACATCTTGCGGCTTATGAAAGCATGTCTTTGAAGACACCATGATTCTCCCTGAAGGCTGCTACGCCTCCCGCGGGAGCGGAGGCACCGCTCGCCGAGAGCTTCTGAAGCTGGTCGACCAGTGCCGGAAGGACGACGTCGGTGGATACTTCGGTCCGGACTCCAAGTGCCCCTGTCGGATCCGGATCCGGGACCGCAGCGATATGCTCCTCTCCTCGGACGCCTCCCGTGTTGACGATTGCAATGGGCATGCCGCGATCAAGAGCCCGCTTGGCCAGCCGCCAAGCAGAGTACGTGGCTAGCGAAGTACCGAGGATCAACAGCTTGCCAGCCCCGTCGATGGCCTCCTCCGCCGCCGTCTTGACCTCGTGGGGGATGCTTTCGCCAAACATGACGACGGCAGGCTTGAGGATGCCCGCAGAGCTGGAGGAGTGCCAGGCGCCGTCATGGTCGACCTCGACGACGTGCCTAGCACCCTCGGGGGTGGAGGGTGGGTGCGCCAGGCAATGCGGACATGCAGGATATCGGAAGGTGGTGTAAGGAGCGCCGGGCAGGTCGACGTCTCCGTCAGGATTGGTCCGGATGCCCTTGGCCCTGCGTTCCGCGGGATTCTCTGTATCGAGAGCCCCGGAAGCCAAGGCTTCGGCGAGGAAGGTCGCCCAAGCCGGGTTGAGCCTCGCTAGCTCTTCCTGGAAGGTGTCCCTGGGGTATTCGTTCCTGCAAGTAACACAGACAGTGGACCGCAGATAACCGTGTAACTCTAAAGTTGGAATGTCAGGATGAGCTTTTGAGTGGAATGAGTCGACGTTCTGAGTGACGACACTGCGAATAAGACCGAGCTGGCCAAGATCACGGATGGCATAGTGGCCCTGATTCGGGGACGCCTTGTGGAGTGACGTCCATCCCAAGAAACTTCTTGCCCAGTACCTCTTGCGTGCTTCGTGATTTGAGAGAAACTCGTGGTAGTAGATGGGACGGTAAGTCTTGTTCACGCGGTAAGTGCCATTGACCCCTCTGTAGTCGGCGAGGCCGCTGGAGACGGAGAGGCCCGCCCCAGTCAAGACTACGGTCGACCTCGGCAGCCCCTGTGGCGGAGGAGCTGTGAAGAAGTTCTGGAGGGCCGCGACAGCGCCAGGGATGGAGTTTGCGTTACTTGGACGGACTGTGGGAGGAGCCAAGAGTTCCGTGTAGGGAATGCGCATAAGAGGTTTGCGCATCGGGGCGAGGCTTTGTGGTGGGGTGTTGCGTAAGGCTGCCGGAATGTGGGAGGGAAATGGATCGTGAGGTGGGATGGCGCCGGGCGACGTGGAGGCTGAGGCTGTGAGAGGAAGGAGAAGACCAGAAAGGGGTTGAATTAAAGGAAGAGAGGGTTGTGATGTGGACGTGATATGCCCGGGGGTGGGTTTAAGAATAGCAGCAAACAAGGGACGGGAGGAGAATTTTGAGGGCGGGTGTCAGACGCGTGTATTGGTAAACGGAAGCGTTGCGACGGGCTCATCTCATGTTGAGTCCAAGGGGCGATCTCATCTCTCTATCGTCAGCTTGTCGATTCGTCATGATTCGGGGGTCCCAGCCTCAAGGGGGCCCGCTGTCACCCCACACGATGACAAAGCTGGTGTGGCTTGCCCGAGGTCTCGCAGTGAAGACACCACCTGCAGTGTTGTGAAGGTGGTTAGTGATTAGACACTGCACTGTGGTAGAGGCCTTGGCACGGACCAAGCGAGGCGCCCTGCAGCAAATCAGAGAGATTCCGTTGCAATGGAGAGGGTATTCATTGGCAACTTCGCACTGGTCACATTCGCAATTGGCAACTCAGAGCCAGGACAGCGACTATCTGAGACTCAAGGGGCTGTCTGTCACCTGCCTGTCCGATAGTATGCGTCCGGTTGTCACCTCGTGTGCCTCTACAGTCGTCCGGCATCCTCTTTCGGCAGGCCGGAGGTGATGGCTTGAGGCTCCTGGAGGGTTGGTTCCGTCCGTCTGTTTGAGTTGCGTACGCTTCATCTGCTTTAACCAGAGTTGGTTCGCGCAGCTGGAGATCCCAATGGCTAATTGCAGCATCCCGCCGGGCTCCGTTGTCAATAGTGGGCGCTGCTGACGCATGTCGTCGCCAGTTGCCCAGGGCCACTGCAGGAGGTGCAGGGCCAGTTGTAAAAGAAAATTCAAGCTTCTCCCCCCCATCCCAAACCCCGGTGCCGGGGCCAAAACGCAAGTTTTGGTTTGGAAGAAATTTGCACACACTTCCATTGGTGAGCTTGAGTCGTTGCGTTGCCCAGTACTTTACTTTACTTTGTATGCGGCGGTAACGTGTACAACTGTAATTAGGGACAGGCATAGTAGCAAATCAATCAATCCAATTCAACTGGCCAGGGCCATGCCATGCTGCATCCACTCTATCATCGCCTTTCCCGTCCTGTGGTCTACCTACGGATACCGCTGCGATGTACTTATACACTACCTTACAGAGTACGGTTACAGACCCCATCCTCGTCAGGAACGGATGCCATCTTTAGCTTAGGTTAGCATCAGCAACCCATCCCATAGGTCCCATCCCGTCCCATCCTGTCCCGCCGAGCCGGCCCTGCCCTGCCTCTTTCTGCCCATTGCCCTGTGTTGTCGCCCTGCAACCCGCACTGCATCCACTTCTGCGCACTGCGACCGCGGCGAGGCCAAGCGACTGCAGCCCGAGAGAGTCGGGGACATCAGATCGAACACCCGCCGTGGCCGGACTGAACTGAACTGATCCGACCTTGACCTGCCCTGACTGCACCGTACCTCATGCATGACTGTCTGTCAACGGCAGCAACATCAACGACAACTCTCAACTTCAAACCCTGCCGTGTCACTTTCCTCCCACATCCTCTCGCTCTCTTCCGCTACACAGCCTAGCCACAAGTCCACCACCGAGGCCCAAGGCCCTTCCCGCAACCTTCTCCCTCGCCTTCGGCTTCCCTTCCCCCCTCCCCTCCGTACCTTGCCTTACCTTACGTTACCTACCTTACCCAGTACCTCTGGCTCCGTACACCACCATCCAAATCACTCCCACCACTCCCGTCGCCGCGCTCCCCATCTATTCGATCCGTACTGGGCTGCTTGTCATGTACGCGTCCCTTGCCTGCTGCCGCCGCTGCTTGCAATTAGCCATCCCATCATTCGTCCCCTCCCCCCATCCTATTCCTGGTACTCCCGGCCTCTAGCCTCGTGCCTTGTCACTTGTGCCTCGCGTACCCTTACCGTACCTTGCCGTACCGTACCTACATGTCTCCCCCGTCCAAGCGCCCGCCGACGGGTCTGCTCCGCCGCCTATCCGGGCTGAGTGTGAGTGTGACGTCCCGGTCTGGAGCTTCCACTGGCACCGGCACAGGGACGCGCAAAAGAAGCATGGGGATGGGCATTGGGATGGGAATGCGATCTGGGCCTGGACGCGCCGCAGGGCCGTCTGCCTCCGCCGTACACGCCCTCCTCCGTTCATCTTGCCTCGATTTTGTTACCGGTACCCCCTTTAGGCCACATCTCCCAAACCTGCGCCGCGTGCGCGTCTATCAAACATCCAGCCCGGCCGCCTCTCCCTGCGATCCCTACTTAACCCCCAACGCCGCCCGCCTCCGCTTGCGCTCAAGGCTACCGGCCACTACCAGTACTTCTTTCCCCATCCTCACACAGACCGCAATCATGTCTTCTACAACTACAACCACCACAACCACCACCGCACCTCCCACCACCGTCATGCAGACTCAGACACGACACAGCTCTGGCGGCCACTCCCACGGCCATGGTCACCACCACCACCATCACGGTCACGACAACGTCTACCTGACCTCAAGCAACAAGAACGATGCCGGCGTCCGCATCACCCGCATCGGCCTCTACTCCAACCTCGGCATGGCCATTGCAAAGGGCGCCGGCGGCTACGCCTTCGGCTCCCAGGCAATGGTCGCTGACGCCTGGCACAGTCTGACTGATCTGGCCTCTGACATCCTGACGCTGGCCACCGTCTCCTGGAGTCTGAAGCCCCCTACCGCTGGCTTCCCCACTGGTTTCGGCAAGATTGAGAGCTTGGGTTCTTTGGGAGTCTCCAGCATGCTTCTGGGCGGCGGCCTGTTCATGTGCTGGAGCAGCTTGCTGACTCTCCACGCCCACCTCTTCCTGGATCCCGCGGCGGCCGCTGAGGCCATCGCCCACGCTCACTCCCACGGCCACAGCCATCACCACGACCACTCTGGCCCCAGCCTGCACGCGGCCTGGTTGGCTCTCGGCACCGTGGCGATCAAGGAGTGGCTGTACCAAGCAAGTAGGTGTCACCCAAACCCCTGTAGAGTGAGCAAACATAAGCAACGTGTCTAACAAAGATTTTGCAGCAATGAAAGTCGCCGTCGAACGAAAGTCATCTGTCCTCGCCTCCAACGCCGTTCACCACCGTGTCGACAGCTGGACTGGAATTGTTACACTGCTTGCTATTCTCGGCGCAAACTTTTTCAGAGATGCTGCCTGGTTGGACCCTGTCGGTGGCCTCATGATTTCTCTCCTGGTCATCAAGGCTGGCGCGGAGAACACCCTGTCCGCTCTGTACGAACTGGCCGACCGTAGCATCGATGACGAGGTCAAGGAATCGGTCGAGAAGCACACACTTAGGAGCCTATCTGATGTCACCGAGGGCCACGAGGTCGAAGTCAGGGACATCTCTGGTGTCAAGTCTGGCCAGAACTACCTCGTCGACATTGAAATGGCTGTCCCGGGAGCCTGGACGGTCGAGCACGTCCGCGCCGTCGAGGAGACCGTCCGCACCCAAGTCGGCTCTAGCGTGCGTGGAGTTCGGAGGATCAAGGTCCGCTACGTCCCGAAGGAGGCTGAGATCGCGCCCAAGTTTGACGAGTTCATCCCCGGCGAGGCCAACATGGATAAGCCCGAGGAGGAGACCACCGACGCCAACGGCAACGGTCACCACAAGCACCACTAAGCGGCCGACGTCCCTAGTTGTACATTCGGGAGGATGAGCTTGCCATTCACGATGAGATACCCTTGGTTCCCTTACACTATCCGGAAGCGTGGAATAGCCACCGTCTTGTTTTTTACCTGTTTTTGTGGCATATAGGGGAAGTTTTAGAAGAGCATACTTGGAGGGTCCTCTCAAGTATGCGATGCATCTGGGCGGCGTTCAGGGGGGTTAGCAAAAGGCCAGCATTTAGGCCAGTCATCCGGAGAGCTTGTGTCTCTCCTTGCCAATAACAGAATCAATTGTCTTAGCCTGTCACCTTGCATACAGCCGTGTCTCGCGCTGTGCCGCCGGCACACACTCTGCCCATTCCCGCAACCTAGTTACTCGCTTCATCCCGACCTATCAATCCCTGGGCCGGCATGCGGGGACTGCGATCTGAAATCTAAGGTGCGCATAGCACGCGGGCTAAGCTGCCCCCGACCCCCGAGCCGGGGGACAAGGCTGTCTTGGCTTTTTGCCAAGCCATCGAGATGTCATTGGTGCGCATATGCGTCGCAAGGAGGTACAAAATCTACGATTGGCCAATCCGGTTTTAGCCTGAATTGCCACAAGGCTGATACCGTGCAACCTGTCCCGAGCTGCCCCTCCATGTCCACTCCCCACGTAAAGTGATGTAAGGTGGTGGGCAGCGGTCAACTTTCCCAAATATCCGGGTCGCATCGTGTTTTTTCCCCTTCCTGTCTCTCAGAGCTTTAATGTGATTCGAATTGCATCATATTAGACAGATTTTAATACCCAAAAGAGTGTACGATCTTCTCGTCTGCCGTCGTCATGAGTGCCGGTCCCCTGTATCTCGGGTTCGATCTATCAACCCAACAGCTCAAGGGTCAGTTCATGCATCAATTGCCATCTCAATCCACCATCATCATCCGACTCACGATGCTGACGACCGAACAGCCATCGTCGTCCAGTCTGACCTCACAGTCGTCTCCGAGGCCAAGGTCGACTTCGATGCTGACTTCGGCAAGCAGTATGGCCTGAAGAAGGGTGTTCTAACGAACGAGGCCGAGGGCGAGGTCTACGCCCCCGTCGCCATGTTCCTCGAGGCAATCGACCTTGTCCTCGATCGCCTCAGCAAGAAGACTCCCATGGACCGCATCAAGGGCATCAGCGGTTCGTGCCAGCAGCACGGCAGCACCTACTGGAGCCACGATGCCGAGAAGCTCCTCGGCGGGCTCAAGGCCGACAAGCCTCTTGTTGAGCAGCTCAAGGCAGCCTTCT